GTCGTGTTTGTCACCGCCTTCCTGTTATTTGTGTATAGAAAGCACTGGAGCTGATGTCGCTGGTCCCGAAGCGCTGCAATGACATGATGAACCTCGGCCGCCTGCAGGGATACGAGGTAGGCGTGTTCATCGAGAAACTCCCGAATGAGTTCAGAATTCAGCCGGTTGGGCGTGAGTAAATGTTTTCGAACCACTCAAGGCCGCAGCGTGCCTCCGGAAGTACAACAACGTACGAGTCGATCGGTCGCATTGCTAAGCAACGGAGGCGAATCGCGCGCTGTACATTTTGTTCCCAAGCAAGGTCGCGGCGGCAATTAGCTTCGTGCAGTTTGTTGTAACGAAGGCATTGTCTCTAAACGTGTGGGCAAAATCTGGTCGTTGCAAAAGTAGTTTACGTTCGAAAGATGTTTATTGTCGGCAAAATAGGCAAATGGGAAATGAAGGATGTGAAAGCGAGACTTTGAAATGTGAACGCGACAGGGGCGAAAACGTTGAAAACGTTGTCCTCAGAAATAGAGTAGCCGTCGTTGCAAAAGTAGTTTACGTTCGAAAGATGTTTTTTGTCGGCAAAATAGGCAAATGGAAAATGAAGGATGTGAAAGCGAGACTTTGAAATATGAACGCTACAGGGGCGAAAACGTTGAAAACGTCCTCAGAAATAGAGTAGCGACGTCTTTACGCGTCTCCATTTTGCAAAGTAACTGACGTCAGAGCAGAAACAAATTAAAGACAGCCATGCCGCTTCAGTGTTCGACATGAACAGTGACCCGATGATCCGGGCTACCGCCCAAAGTTTACTGACACTGGTCTGACTGAGCCGGAACACATTTTTTTACATGGATATGATGAAATCAACACCTGCTTGCATTTTTATTTTTAGATTTATTTGTCGATATTGGAGTTTTATCCATTGATCAGTTACGATTGATCTTTTTACTCCGCTGCAAACATGTTTTTGTGCATCGGGATATAAAGCCCCAAAAATATCAAATGATAAATATTCAGTCAGATTTTATATTCACCCCCGCCCCCTAAAAAAAAGCAGTTTACACAGCAGTAATATTTTCTTAAATTAAAGGCTTAAATAATACAATCTAAAGATGCTGAATATTAAATTATATCACGGCTATACTTTGCCAGTGGCAGTGCCGCCACGACATGGCTCAAAGGCTTCATGCCGGACGCTGTAGTTATTCTTTTTTTTTTTTTTTCGTCATCTGCCTCAGACGCGATTTTATTGCGCTAATTATTTGCTAATTATTTTAATAGTGTATTCACGTTATGTCAAATTTGTCAAAGCGTTTATGGATGCCGCCCTCACAATTGCGGTCTTGTATTTGCAAGTAAGCACATTTTGCACCTCCCTTTCTCTACTATCTGAAGCAAAAAACGTTGAAAAAGAAGCCGAGGGTTATCTGGGGTTGTCTTCCACTTTGCGTGCTCCGATTCCGGCATGACAGGAAGGTCGATTGCGATCACGATGCGTCACAACAATGCCGATCCCGCATCGGTGCACTGTCACGACTGCTGCGACCCCTGACCCGATGCGCGTCTGTCCTCAGGGGAAGTTGACCTCTCAGGGTAAGCTGCTGCAACAGGAGACCTTCTGCGTGTGGGAGCAGGACGGCGGAGTTCTTTCCCGTAGCAAAGAGCGCCGGGTATTCCTGTTTGAGCAGATCATCATCTTCAGCGAACTCCTGCGCAAAGGATCCAACAATCCGGGATACCAATTCAAGAACAGCATCAAGGTCAGACCGGGCGGACCGCTCAAGAAATACGCTCGAGTGCTCACACTGAAGTTCGGCTCACCAGCGTTTAGCGCCCGTGACGTGTTCCACGTCAAACAAACAAGCAAACAAACTCAAGTATACGATCCGATGAGACCGTGTAAAAATGTTTTGGAATGGTTGAACCCACTGGTGTCAAACATAAGGCCCGGGGGCCAAATCTGGCCCGCCACATCATTTGATGTGTCCCACAATAAGCAAATCAAACGTGTCAACTTCCATGATGCTTGCTAAAATCTCTACCAAAATGTAAAATTCTCATATGTAACAAATAAGAGACATATTGTAAGCATTTTCTTGTAATCAAACCCCTCATCACAGTAACTTAAACAAAAGTTGAATAAACACTTATTATTGACTTTTTTTTTTTTTTTGGTTTCAGTCATAACGGCCCTCCAAGGGAAACGCTAACTAAAATGTGGCCCACGACAAAAATGAGTTTGACACCCCTTGTTTAACCTGTCCCACTCACATTTAAACTGTTTAAACCCTCTTTTCTAACCGAAAAAAAAATCAATCGGCGATTGAGCGGGTATTCACTGTGGCTGTGTCTGTAGGTGACTTACCTGGCCATGCAGGAGAGCGTGGAGGGAGACCCCTGTAAGTTTATGTTGTGGTCTCGCGGCTCAGCGGAGCGCTTCACGCTCCAGGCGTCCTCCACCGGCATCAAGAGCACCTGGGTGGAGAACATCGCCGCCCTGCTGGAAGCGCAGAACAACTTCTTGTCTGGTGAGCGACGGGACGGATGGGCGGCAGCGTTTTGGTCAACCTCGTTGACGTTTGAATGCCCCCACTTTAGCTCTCCAGTCTCCCATCGAGTACCAGAAAAAGGAAGGCGGCATATCGGTGACTCGTCCCCTGTCGTCGGGGCGGTCGCCTTCGGCCCCGCCCACACCTAATGGCCACGCCCCTCAGCCGTTGCCAGACAGCGACCAGGACGTCCAGGTGGGAATCAAATCTCAAGTGGGCAAAACTGCACACTTACTTGTTTTTCATCAAGATGTTGGTTTAATAACAGTGTTATAACTACTGCGCTGAGTATTACAAATGAACTTCCATCTCGATGAATCACGTGATGTTTACATTTTTCACGACACACGTTGAGCTGATAAAAGAGTGGAGCATGTAAAGTGGCAGATCGGAATATAGTACGTCGCATGCAAACGGGTGACCAGAGAGCTTCACACGATACGATTTCAATCAGAAGGACCAAAAAGTCTCCATGTAAACCCGGCCGACGACGGAGAATTGTGAACCAAGACTTTTCTTTCTTTCGGACACACATGATCGTGCGCCAATATGTCAAGCTATTAGTTCCAACTCGTGGAAAGAAAGGCGAATCAATTTTTTTGTTTTGTTTTCCTTGAAGTATCGGTGGCCGGAATCGGCGGCCTTCACAATACCTTATACATTGAAATGATGCTGATATTGGGCCGATAACTTTTTTTCTTCAAGCAGTGATTGTCAGTGTGGTGTGAGCGGTAGGCGAGCTCCCTCTAGTGCACAGGTGTCAAACGCAAGGCCTGGGGGCCACATCTGGCCCACGACATTTTATTTCGCCCCCGAAAGCAAATTATGAGCAGCAACTTCATGTTTCTTGTTGAAATAACAAAAGTGCAAATTGTCTTCATTTTTAAAAGCATTGCGATATTGCAAGATTTTTTTTTTTTTTTTTTACAAAACTGCTTTTAAAATAAGCAAATAATTGGGGGAAAGTGTTTTTACGGGCCTGTGATTTCAAAAATAGCTATTCATCAATTTGTTGTGTAAATGTCCAATGGGACAATCTTGGATTTATTTGGGTTCAGATTCCTCAGGGTTCTACAAAGGAAACCGAACAACAATGTGGCAAAAATGATTTGGACACCCCTGCTCCCGTGCTTTGCATGAAATGGTTAAGAATTGTTCAACATCATTTTAGATCCAATTTTTATGTCACATCCATTCCACTGGATTCCCGACCCTTTTTTTTTTTTTCAGGAGGTGGTGCTGGTGCTCCAGGACTTTGTGGCCGTAACGCGAGGAGGAGATCTGGGGGTCCGGGGGC